GTAGAAGATTATCCATATTTGGTACAGCAACAGCTTACACAGCAGGTTGTAGCAGCTTACACAGCAGCTTGTAGTAACAGCTTACACAACAGCTTATAGTAGCTTACACATCAGCTTGTAGTAGCAGCTTACAGAGCAGCTTCCTTTCTTCTATAAATAGAAGAGATTTCAGTTCATTATGTACATTAGTTTGAATTCGAATAATATATCAGTTTCTCTCTATACTTGTCTTTACTTTATAGTCTTTGTTTCATAACAATATAAAGTTTTTTATTTGGATTTTAAGTTATTAGTATTGAATATGTAAAAGAATTTTTATATTATCGCCTGTAATTTAAACGATTGAAGGGGAGCTTTCGAACAACAATCGAGATGTCTCCGCATGACCTAAAATAGCTTGTTGAAATTTGTTTATAGAAGGTTTATTTTTCGTAGAGGATTAATCTTAGACGCTTGCAACTTTTATCAAATTGAACCATCAGCTTGACAGTAAATTAATTTATTATGTTAACTCAGCTAATAAAAACTCTTAACATGATTTGATATCAAAGACGAAGCCACCTTTTGCTAAGGATGGTCAATTGACCACCTTTCGCTGAAATATTACGAAAAATTATATTGTGTATATGAGTAAAATATTATATTTGAGATGTACATAATATATATTGAACATCTTTTGTTTGAATTTTTTTTACTTCTTTCAAATCTGAACACCTTTGAAAAAATTCATGAATTCGCCACTGTCTGATATTATTGGCTCTAGATTAATTTTGTACGATTTGTTTCCAAAAAATCGTCAACCTTATGCGTAACTTTTTTTTTTTCTTGTCAATTTCTAATGTGGGATTTTGTTTGTATACTCAAATTGTACTAAGGTACGTGTTAGTTTCTTAGATTACGGAATTTCAGGCAGTATCAAATATATTTATATCTAGAAATACTAGATGGTTTTTGCTTGTGCATAGCACGGGTCCAATACCGTAGAATATGGAATTACTATTTGTGATTAATTTGATTTGAGATGAAATTGCATAGAAGAGACCGAAATTGAGACATCATTGGAAAGTAACACAATATTTACATCCATGAAAATACTATTTATACATATATAAACATATAGTTATTTACGTATCGACAAAAAGAGATGCATTTTACTTCGAAATGACATAACTTTTACATTCATGAGAGTATCTATATTCACAAAAGATGATTCTTTCTCCATACTGTAATTGTTCTTCTTCATTGTAGTGCAACAAAAGTACTAATATCTGCAAAATCACAGAAAAAGACCAAGTTTCAATACCCTTATAATATAATGAATTAAATTGAGGATAATATCAATACAATTGATTTTTTCTAAAACACTTTTTCAATGTGGAATGATGTCTCTCTACAAGATTAATATAAGTAGGCCTTCTGTTACACCATTATTGATCAATCAATTGCATTGATACCTGATAGAATCTTTACATCCTATAGGCCTATTAATTAATCCCAATTGTAGTGTAAAATCACATCCTAATTCAACAGGTAAACAGTAGACAAATTCCATCTTCACGTATATCCCGAACGCAAAACTTGTCTTGACATAACTTAGCAACATTATCAAAGTTAAACAACTAAAAATCTCCATGCTTTGGCCCTAAACTTATGTTGCATACAATTATATTATTCCCTTTGATAACTATGGGAAAAGTAATTGTGTATTTATCTTTTTGTTGAATTGGATGGTTTCCAAGATCTTTTCCTCCTACAGAACATTTAGTTTGAACCAAATTCGGAGTTTTATTGGATATAAGAATATTATAATCAAACAATGTTACTAAAGAAACATGCAATGAAAAAGAACTTAGTACAAAGCAAAATATGAAGATGTGATATAATAATGAGGAAGACATGGTGATTTTTCTTAAATCTTTCTCTATTGACATGTTAATAAACTATGGAGAATGAGTTAATTGAGTAATATGAGAGATGGGGTAGTATCATAGACAGATAGTAAATAGGTAAACCAACCTAATATCACACCAGAAAAGATTAGCTTTAATCGCAGGCAGAAAGCAACAACATAATTGTGACTTTAATCGCATCCACAAATAACAGCAAAATGTCTTCAAATGCATCCCAAACCTGTAGCAAACTGCGGCTTCAACTAAGAGAGCAAGTGAAATTAAGTAAATATGTTGTATTGTTAGAACGTTCCAAGAGAAAATTAAACAATGCGTAGGAATTACACATGTGTTGAGATATTTTTTAGAACTATCATATTAATTACATCTTAAAATTAATTATATGAGCAGATAAAAGAATAACAACTTAATTAAAAAGTTCAAATACCTTACAATTACTTTTTCAAAGGAGGAGTCTTTATTTCCAAGCCCCGCTTGTAGTGGGACGCAATATCTTTGTTAGTAGTCTCTTGAGATTCTCTTCCCTCCAAGCCAAGACGTTCAATTTTGCGTTTGCTCCCCTCGGCAACATCCATCATGGTTGGGGAGAACTCTTGGTGGGTCTCATTGTCTTTGTTCATGTAAGATAAAATAGATAACTTTTGCACTATATCATGATATTTTGTAAATAATTTTTTTCATTTGAATTTTGAATATCTTTCCACTCATTTGTTTCTACACATCCGCAAGAGGTAAAATTTATTTCTAGGAGGACGAAATTGGTTAGTTACAAATCAAAAGAGGGTCATTTTGCCATTTATACTTGTTTGTATGTTTTTGAAGTTAACAGTGATATGAAAAATAAAACTTGACATGGTAGATGTCATAAATTTCTTCAGAGCTGAGGCTTAACATTTTCCCGGCAGGTTTGTCAGAAATAATGACTATTGCAAAACCACTATTGTCTCTAACAGTGACTTCAAATTGACATCTATTATAATATAGAGCAAATATTTCGTTTGATGAATAAAAACTAAATAACTATAAACTCTAAATAGTCATATAGAAGAATCTAGTAGCATTTATACCTTGGAATTAGATGAGTGGATCGTTGACAGTTTGTATAATAAATTGTCATCCGAGAGAAAGATCTCGTGAACAATTGCTTACAGTCAGAACAAGATAACACACAAAAGCATTCGTTCTCATTTGGAAGAAAATGTTCAGCCTCGACATAAAATACTTGTCCCTATATAATTCAAGAATGTCACATATTTCTTTTTTGTGACTACTAAAAATAGTTAAATTTCGATAGAATAATATAATTTATGTTGTTCTTACTTGAGGTTGCGCTTGGATATTGAAAATAGCTATAATTTCATCCTCAAAAGGAACCACCATAACATAGCCTATGGAAGATGTACTCTTTACCTTGTATGCATTAAGCATTGGTTCAATTGTTTTGGCCCTACAAGAAAGTTAAAATCTAAAAAATTCGTTCTTGTATATATTAGTGTATTATATCAACAATATGTTTCTACAGATGCATAATTCACAAAGAAATACATACATAATACCATGACTTTAACTCAACAGCTTGTGGGTAAGGAGGATTGAATTGGATTGTTGTACTAAATTTGTTCGACAGTCTACTGAATTTGTTCGACGATCCTACACGCATTCAAATATTAAGATTTGATTTTGTTGTTTGATATTTGTCAAGGAAAAAGGTAAAATCATATATGTACTAATACCTGATGATGATCTGCCAATTTTTCTAGCAAGAATAACCGGGTATTTATTCAGTTGTTTCAAAAGTTTATTCCCATAAAGATCAATGAATTCTTCCCAGAGTGTGAATTTTGTTTTTTTTTCTTGTAAAAAATGAATAGAAGATGTTAAATAATATATTGGAGTAACAAAAAGTAATAGCTAAGTTTGATAACTTGGACTGTAAAATAAACCTTAAATGTAAGATATTTTGTATTATTTACAAGGTAATGAAAATTCAGAAGTCTCAAATATGAAGAAACAAAAATCGAAAAGTAAAAGCCCTGCCATGTAAATAAAACCTCCCAAATATTTGAGTTGCAAAAAACAAAAGAAGTCATGTGCTTAGGGAAACAAAAAACGAAATATTTTACTTTACAATCACAGAAATCAAGCATCCAAGTTACATCACATATACCTGAAGCTTAGGAGTTCAATGTGAAATAGTGAACAATAACAAATATCTAGCTCGACCCAAAAAAGTATGTCCACATACAATGGACAATGACAAAGAGTCAAAGTGCACTTAACATGTGATGACCCAAAGGGTTATCTTATGTTTTAGAACTCGATTCTATATTTCGAGGCCTTTAAAACCTCATTTTATTCCTCCACGATTTGCGTGCACAGTCCGGACGTATTTCCGAAAAGCTTTTATGTTGAAAGTTGATGAAAGTAATAATTTTTGCCTTTAAAAGTTGATTTATTTGACTTCGATCAATGTTTGAAGTAAACGGATCTGGAATCGTACTTTGACAGTCCCGGTGGGTTCGTATCAAAATATGGGATCTGGGCATATGCACGGAATCGAATTCCGAGGTCCCTAGCTCGAGATATGAATTTTTGATGAAAATTGAAAGTCTGAAAATTAAATGGTTTTAAGAATTTGGTTAATATTTGATCTCATTGGTATCGGGTTCGTATTTTGGTTCTGGATCCCGGTACAGGTTCATTATAATATTTAAGACTTGTCTGTGAAATTTGGTGAGAAACGGAGTTGGTTTGACGTGATTCGGACGTCCGGTTGTGAAAATAGGAATTTTAAAGTGTTTTTGAGAATTCACTTGATTTGATGATAAATTCATAGTTCTAGTTGTTATTTTGGCAATTTGATCGCGCGAGCAAGTTCGTATGATATTTTAAGACTTATGTGTATGTTTGGTTTGGAGTTTCGAGGGATCGGGTGAGTTTCGGATAGGCTACGGAGTGTTTTGAACTTAGAAATTTTGCAGGTATGCTTCAGTTCTATTGCAGAGCCTTTGATCTCCAATTGCGAGATCAAGCCTTACATTTGTGACCACTGTTGGATTCGCATTTGTGACTCACTCATCGCATTTGCAAAGAGTAGCTTTGGAGGCCAATGTTTGCAATTGCGAACAATGCCTCGCAATTGCGATGGGAGCTGGGGAGGGGTGTTCTTCGCATTTGCGATCATATGGTCGCAAATGCGGTCTTGCCCATGTTCGCACTTGTGAACTATTTCTCGCATTTGCGAACATGCAGAGGTGAGAAGGGTTCACATTTGCGGGCTTCGCAAATAGTCGCAATTGCGACATCTGCAGCTGGGTAAATGAGACTTGGATGAGATTTTTCATTCATTCTTCAAATTTTCAAATCCTAGAACCCTAGATGTGATTCTTCCAAGATCAATTCTTCCCCAAAATTTCGGTAAGTAATCCTAACCCACTTTCTTTTAATTTTCCATCACATTTCATGAATTTCCAACCTAAAATCTAAGATTTCCATGGTAGAATTTGGGATTTTTGGGTAGAAACTAGGGATTTTGGAAATTGGAGATTTAGACCTCGAATTGAGGTCGAATTCCAAAATTAATTATATATCCGGGCTCGAGGGTGAATGGGGAAATGGATTTTGGTCTGAACCTCGGGTTTTAACCAAGGAGGCACGGGGGTCAACTTTTGACTTTTTGGGGGAAAGTTTGAGAAATCTAAATTTATGCATTGTAGTTGATTCCTTTAGCAATAATTGATATTATAGAGTTAATTGTGGCTAGAAACGAGTGGTTTGGGGGTGGATACTAGAGGAAAAGCGGTAATTAAGTATTGAGTGTCCCGCGGAGCGAGGTAAGTGTAGTGTCTAACTTTGACTCGAGGGATTAGGAACCCTTGACTTGTTTGCTATGTGAAATCTATGTGAGCGGCGTATAGGTGAAGTGACGAGCGCCTATGCGCCGCCAATTTATCTATCTTGCTTGTGTCTTTCCCTTTCTTCTTATATTATTTTTCTCTGCCTTAGCTGCTACATGCTTTACTTGTACTTCTATGCCTAATTGCTACTTGTTAGACATTGTTTCTCTTTGTTGGAAGTATTAGTTCTTTTGTAGCTTCGTTGTCTCCTATTATTTGCTTAAGTTGTTATTGATACTTTCAAGGCATATTTTCTGGATTGGTCTCGTTGTGTAGCAATAATCATGTAGATTCTATATTGATTGAGGTTTCCTTTTCTTGGTTCAGTTTGGTTCTTATTTATCGTAAAGGCCTTGTGATTTAGCCTGTTGATTTTGTACATTGAGAGTTTGGTTATGATATGGTANGTGAAATAGGGGTGAAATTACGATATTGATATTGATATATGGTGGGAACGGGTTGCACGCCACAACATATATATATATATATATATATATATATATATATATTATTTACTGTTGTTGATATTGTCATGGTGGAATAAGGGAGGATTATGTATTGTCTGGTGGGATCGGATTATGCGCCGTAACAACCTATATGTATCTATTTCTTGGGTTGTGTTGTTTTTACGATACTTTGTTTGAACTGGTAAGATTGGTAAATCTGGACAACATTGGTTTATTTTCGAGACTGTGGTTATCATTTCCTGTTAGCTGTTTAATTCTATACTGCATTTCAATTATTTTGTCATTATTATATACCACGTACAGGTTTTAACGTAAGTGACCCGCCTTAGCCTCGTCACTACTTCGTCAAGGTTAGGCTTCGCACTTACCAGTACATGGGGTTGGTTGTATTGATACTGCACTCTGCATACTGTGCAGATTTTGGAAACGGTCCCAGCGGCGATTATTAGCGTGCTCGGATCATACCTTCACGGAGACCTGAGGTACGGCTGTTCAACGCCCACAACTCCTGGAGTCCCCATCCTCTATCTATTTAGCTGTGTACTTTCATTCGAACAACTTGTTACTTATTTCAGACCCTTATGTGTATTACTATAGTAGTTCGTGCACTCGTGACACCAGATTCAGGGAATTGTAATAGATATTTGGCTAGTTCGATTTTCGCATTGTTACTTTAAATTTATTTAGTTATCTCATTTTTTCTTTAATATCTACTTTAACTGTTAAAAGGAGTAGATTGTTCTAATGTTGGCTTGCCTAGCAAGTAAAATATTAGGCGCCATCACGATCCCGATAGTAGGAATTTTGGGTCGTGACATAACATTTCTGCAATGTTTGGAAAATTGCAAAGGTTGGGAAGAATTGGTCTTTTGAATCGGTTAGCATCCTGTAATGACCCAACCGGTCGTTTCGTGAATTATAGCCCTATTTTCTCCATTTTTGCTTTCTTATGTGGTGTTCAGCTGCATTGTGTGGTATCGGATTGGTTGGTTCGGGTTCAGAGTGATCTTGGAGAGGAATGAGACACTTAGTCTCTTATTTAGAAGTTTAAGTTGGAAAAGTCAACCAGATGTTGACTTATGTATATAAGATATCAGATGTGAATTCTGATCGTTCGGTTAGATCCGTTAGGTGATTTTGTACTTAGGAGCATGTTCGGAATGTAATTTGGAGGTTCGTGGTAGAATTAGGCTTGAATTGGTGAAATTAAAAATTTGGCGTTTTACGGTTGGCAGTGAAAATCTTGATATCGGGGTCGGAATGGAATTCCAAAAATTAGAGTAGGTCCGTAGTGTCATTTGTGATGTGTGTGCAAAATTCCAAGTCATTCGGAGGTGATTTGATAGGTTTCGGCATCGTTTGTGAAATTTGAGAGTTTATAAGTTCTTAGGCTTGAATCTGAGGTTGATTTGGTGTTTTGATGTAGTTTTGAGTGATTCAAAGGCTCGACTAAGTTTGAATAATGTTATGGGATGTGTTGGCATGTTTGGTTGTGGTCTCGAGGGCCTCGAGGGTATTTCGGATACTCAACGGGACATTTTTGGACTTGAAAAGTTGGCAGATTTTGCTGGTGTTCTGTTGCAGAAGAGTTGTTCTTCGCGATTGCAAAGAGGAGGTTGCAATCGCGTAGGCTTAATTGGGGCCAAGGTGGAGTTATTCTATGCGATCACAAAGGTGAGGCCGCGATTGCGTATATGTGTGATGTAGTGCTTCGCGAACGTGTGGCCAGGGTCGCGTTCGCGTAGAAGGAAGTGAGCCGGTAAATGGTTGAAGTGATTGCTCTATGCGACCGCGTGAAGCAGGTCGTGATCGTGTAGGTCTGTGTGGATTAGGTTCACGAACGCATGGAGGTTTCCACTTTCGCGTAAGGTTAAATGAGGGGCAGCATTGTTTGTGATTTCCGATCTCGTGGCTATTTTCGCGATCACGATGAAGGCTTATCTGGGCAGAGTTAAAAGATTCAGAAATGAGGGTTTGAGTTCATAATTCCAAAATTCAATAGAGAGCTAGGGAGAAGGCGATTCTAGAGAGGATTTTCAGAGGAGCGATTGGGATAAGTGTTCTTCACTTGATTTTGGTTAAATTCCATGATTATGTCTTGATTTTTATTATCTAAATTGGGAATTTGGGGTGAAAGTTGGGGGAAAATGGAAGAGAATTGGAGAGTTGATTTTGGGGATTTTAATGGCCATTTGATGTCGGATTTTGATGAATTTGATAATGGTAGACTCGTGAGTGAATGGACTTTCTAGTTTTGTAATTTTTATCAGATTCCGAGACGTAGGCCTGGGGTCCGGATTTGAGCCAAATTCGGGATTTTTGGTCTAATTTGATAATTTTCATGTGGAATTCATTCCTTTAGCATATATTGACAATAATATACTGATTTTGATTAGATTCGGAGCATTTGGAGGTCGAGTCGAGAGGCAAGGTCATTGCGGGTTAGAATTTTATCTGGTTTAAGGTAAGTAATGATTGT